AAGAAATCCTGCTCAAGGGAACTCTTAATGAGGGCCTATATCAGTTCAATATGCAGTGCTTGAAGAAAGAACTACCACCGCCTCTTCTGAAATCAAGTGAAGACAATTCACAAGCTTCTATTATGCAGCCCTTTTCTTATTTTTCTAAAACTAGTAAACATGTCAGCCTTGATTTGTGGCATCAAAGGCTTGGTCATGCAAATTATGATAATGTAAAAAGAGCTTTAAGGGCATATAATATGGATTATGAAGCTAGACCAAACTCTGAGCTGTGTAGTTCATGCATTATGGCAAAAAGCCATTCTTTACCTTTTGATGAATCTGAGAGTGTCTATTCTGATTCCTTTGATTTGGTGCATACTGATTTATGGGGGCCTTGTCATGTCAAGGCTGTGAATGGTTATTCTTATTATGAGTTTCATAGATCATCATTCTAGGTTTGCATGGATATATCTGTTAAAAGCAAAATATGATGTCTATGCTGTATTTATAAATTTCAAAGCTTATGTTGAAAATCAGTTTGGCAAGAAAATCAAGGCAATCCAGTCTGATGGAGGAGGTGAGTATCAATCCCTCACAAAGGTGTTTCAAGAATCAGGCATTATACACAGGATCTCATGTGCTTACACCCCTCAACAGAATGGGTTGGCTGAAAAAAAGCACAAAGACATAGTCAACATGGGACTCTCTTTTCTTGCTCACTCTCATTTGCCTCTATGCTACTGGGGTGATTCTTTTGTTGCAGCAACATATCTACTGAATAGAATTCCATGCAAACCTTTTAATTTCAAAACACCTCTAGAAGTCGTTTATGGACACAAGCCAGACTATAAAAGGCTAAAGGTTTTTGGGTGTCTATGTTACCCTCATCTTAGACCCTATAACAGACATAAGATGGATTTCAGATCAACAGCAGGTGTATTTCTGGGATACAACAACCAATACAAGGGATACAAAGTGCTCCTTCCAGATAGAAGAATTATTGTTACAAGAAATGTGCTATTTGATGAATCAGTGTTCCCATATGCTAAGAAGCAGCTGGCAGATGGTGCTATTCCCACTACTACCTCTTTTCCTAGTGCACCATCTATTCCCACAATACCTGCAAACAATGGATCTTCCTCTCATGAAGCAGATAATGCTGTAGACAAAGATCAAATGAATTCACCTGCAAGCTCTAGCAGAACCAGATCAAATGAGGGTCATCTAAGCCAAACTTCAAGTTCCACAAGATCAATAAGTGCTTCTGGCAGTCACTCAACAATACCCTTATTTGTTGATTTGGCTATTGAAAATGAACAGGAAGGAAATGAGGTTTCTCAACAAACCACTCACAGGCATCCCATGATAACAAGAGCTAGAGCTGAATACACAAGCCAAAGACTTATGCAGCCTGTCTTGACCAAGGAACTGAACCCAACAGTTTGGTTGAAGCTTTAAGCAAATCACAGTGGATTTCTGCAATGAAGGAGGAGTTGAATGCTCTATCTAATAATCACACTTGGGATTTGGTAGAGCTCCCTGAAGAAAAGAATACTGTGGGGTGCAAGTGGGTGTATAAAGTAAAAAGAAAGGCAGATGGAAGTATTCTCAAGCATAAGGCAAGGCTTGTTGCACAAGGTTATTCTCAAATTCCAGGTTTTGACTTCTCTGAAACTTTTAGTCCAGTCATTAAGCACAACACAATAAGGATAATGCTCACCTTAGCAGTGAATCATTCATGGAACATAAGACAACTGGATGTAAGCAATGCTTTCTTAAATGGAGATTTAGATGAAGTCATATACATGAAGCAACCACCTGGATTTGAGATTAAAGGCAAAGAAGAAATGGTCTGCAAGCTGAACAATGCACTCTATGGATTGAAACAAGCATCTAGAGCTTGGTTAAGTAAAGTGAAAGGTGTACTGAAGTCAATGGGCTTTATTGACTCAAAGGCAGACAAGGAGCAGGCGTGAAGGCGGAGATTCGGTAAGGCTGTAACCCACAAGGTCTCGCTCGGATGACTGCTATTTAAGAAGAAGACGATTCGCTATCTCCGATCTACGTTTGCTGTTGTTCCTTAAACTCTGACACTGAGATAGCGTAATAATGCAATTGTGAGAAACCAGGAGAAGGGTATGAGTCGAGTTCAACACCTGCATACTCTTGACCGCTACCTAAGGCCGATCTAGCTCGAGGAACATTAGATGTCCGACCCGAAGTTGCCTTCCCGAAAGACATCACTATTCTTTAAAATTTAGAATGGAAAGCATCTTTTTGTACTTCTTTATGTTGATGATATTCTTGTTACAGGAACTTCAAATCAAGATATTGATGATTTTGTCTCAAGTTTTAAAAGAGTCTTTGCCATTAAGGACCTTGGGCATATAGAACACTTTCTTGGCATAGAGATCAAGCAGACTAGTGAAGGTTTGCATTTAAGTCAAGGAGCATATATTAAAGACTTGCTGAAGAGAGTAAAGATGCAGGATGCCAAAGGGTTACCAACACCTATGATTACTGCACCAGCTTTGTCCAAACATGATGGTGATCCAACTGTTGATGGAACTTTGTATAGGAGTGTTGTGGGAGCACTACAGTATGTCACCATTACAAGGCCAGAAATTAGCTTTGCAGTGAACAAGGTTAGTCAATATATATCTTGTCCCTTGGATAAACACTGGAAAGCTGTTAAAAGGATCCTAAGGTACTTGTCAGGGATATCTAGCTATGGCTTACACTTTCAAAGGTCATCTAGCTTGAACATAAATGCATTTTTAGATTCAGATTTGGGGGCTGACTTAGATGATAGAAGGTCAGTGACAGGTTATTGTGTGTTTCTTGGGAAAAATCTGATCTCTTGGTGCTCAAAGAAGCAAGCTTCTGTGTTAAGATCAAGCACTGAGTCAGAGTACAAAAGCCTTGCTCATGCTGCATCAGAGGTAATGTGGATCAATGCCTTGCTTACAGAAATTGGCTTGAGTATAAAGAAAACTCCTGTGATTTGGGTTGACAATCAAAGCACTGTTTCCTAGCTTTCAATCCCATTATGCATTGTGTAACAAAACATGTTGAGCTGGATTATCATTTTGTTAGAGAAAAAATTGCTAATGGGAATTTGAGTTTTTATCACATACCTTCAGTGGAGCAAGTAGCAGATTTATTTACCAAGCCTTTGTCCATTCAATTCTTCTCTCAACTTAGAAACAGACTTGGCATCATTTCAGAATCCTCGATCGAATTGAGGGGGAGTGTTAGCAAACCACACATTTCAGCTTTGATAGATAAAAACACAAGCAAGGCACGTGCATGCATGGAGACAAAGTCAAGGTATTATGTGGCGCATGAAGACAAGACTTAAGTTGCTTTATTGCTTTTGAGGTGTCCATCTTTACAACCATTGATCATTTGTAACTAGGAGTGAAAATCAACCTTTCATTTGTTGTATATATATGAGCAGATAGTGTGGCATAATGTAATAGATTTTATTATATTCAAATCATAGCAACCGTCTTGTACATTTGAGCATTTTTCCTCAGCTATGAACAAACAATTTCAGATCTCAATTTTTACCATGTTTCCCATGAAAATTTTTCAAAGCATACAACTCAAGAATATGAAACAAATTTATTTCCCACCTTATTCACCTATCAGATTTATTCCACTTCTTCAATTCAAGAAGAATTAATGAAAAGGAGGAAACAAACGGAAGAAAAATAAAATTAAAAAAAGTCCTACTTTTGATTATTTTTTTAAAAGCTGCAGGATTATTAATATTTTCTGGATTCTGTTTTAAAAAAATTTCCCAAATTAATTATGGCCAATTCAACGCAACATTTATCTTATATTACCATTAGAAGACAATTTATGTGGATTGCTTTTTTTAATTATTGATCACGTGGCATGTTTTTCACCACAATTATCTCCAATGATGCTCTAAGATTATGTGAAAACCAAAAAATAAATAATGACCATAACATAAAAGCTCTCATTTTGGCTAATCATACGAATACACTTTTGAGATGTATTTTCCATTGATAATTGACTCCTCGCCTATCTACCACAACAAATAAATAAATAAAGTAAATTACAATTCCCGTTTGACTACCATTGGGCATCCATATTTCTTGGTAAAATTGATGACTTACATTTGGTATTTGAACAAACGGCCAAGAGTGAGAACATGGTGAAAAAATTAGGAAGGTAGAAAGAGAGAGAGAGAGAGAGAGAGAGAGATAAGGGAGACAAGAAAGGGGGAGGGAGCTCAACAAGTCACCCTACGATCGTAAGCTACTCATCATGCTTAAGCCATGGCTTCAAGCCAATTCTTCGTTCTCCGACAACATCATGCTCAAGCCATCGTAACACTCAAATCCCTTAAAAAAAATCTTGTCCTGATTCAATCATTCTCTATACCTCTTACGAGCAATTAATTTATAGTACAGGTAATTTTCATATATTTTTATTCTTATACCATTATTTTCTCATCTATCTTTCACGTCTCCTTTTGATGCCTCTTATTTGCAAAAGAGGAAATGTACGTAAGAGGTTTGTGTCCCTATCTTGATCTAGTCGCATTATTTCTTGTTAATAAACACAAATGTTCCTGGAGTGTACATATGTTATGTAATATCATATTTTTGGTTTTTTGAACCCGCTTGGATCACATCGAGACAAATCGAAGCAGGTCGGCGAGCAATGACGCAAGGGGAAAAAAAAAAAAAAAGAAAAGAAAAACCAACAAAAATATGGCAAAAGGTCCAAAACCATAACATTAGATCAGAAGTGCATCTTTTAACCGTTGTTTTGTTTGAACCACCAATTCATGCATGCATAACATACATTTCAATGATTCACTACAGCTCCACATTTATTTTATGTTTTTTCTTTTTACAAAAAATAAGAGAAACTAATAATATTAATGCTTATATTTGTTGTTGTAGTTTGCAAACCTTAAGAGCTCTCAAGGCCTCGACCAATCAGAGACGAATATATATATATATACACACACATCAAATATGGGTCCCAGCAAGTTCCGGAAAGCCATAGGGGCAGTGAAGGACCAAACGAGCATTGGGCTGGCCAAGGTCGGGAGCAGCAACTCCCTTGCCGACCTCGAGGTCGCCATCGTCAAAGCTACCCGCCACGAGGAGTACCCTCCCGACGAGCGCTACGTGCGTGAGATCCTCAACCTCACCACCTACTCCCGAGCCTTCGTCTCCACTTGTGTCTCCACTGTCGCCCGGCGCCTCAGCAAGACCCGCAACTGGGTCGTCGCCCTCAAGGCCCTCATGCTCGTCCACCGTCTCCTCTCCGAGGGTGACCCAGCCTACGAGCAGGAGATCTTCTTTGCAACTCGCCGTGGGACCCGCCTTCTCAACATGTCTGACTTCCGAGACACTTCCGGAAAGTCCAATGCTTGGGACTTCTCGGCCTTCGTGAGAACCTATGCCCTCTACCTGGATGAGCAGCTCGAGTTCAAGGTACAAGGGCGCAGGGCAAAACCCGGGGCTGCCTACGCCCAATCTCCATCTCCTGCCGAGGAGGATGCCGCCGCAGCCAAGGCATTGGTCGTGAGGGGGACTCCTTTGCGCGAGATGAAGATCGACAAGATTTTCTCAAGGGTCCATCACCTCATGCAGCTTCTCGAGAGGTTCTTGGCCTGCCGCCCGACAGGTGAATTAAACAACAATCTCTAAAAAATCAATTTTATTTATTATTCCTCAATATCTACTTTTGATTTTATTATCAACAGGCGCCGCAAAGGAGAATAGAGTCGTGTGTGTGGCCCTGTACCCGATCGTGAAGGAGAGCTTCCAGCTGTGCTACGACATAACCGAGATACTAGGCATCCTCATCGACCGCTTCATGCAGCTCGAGATTCCAGAGATGGTCAAAGTCCACCACATATTCTCCCGAGTCTCCAAGCAGTACGACGAGCTCGACTCCTTCTACGCATGGGGTAAAACAGTCGGCGTGGCCCGCTCCTCTGAGTACCCGGATGTCGAGAAGATCTCCCAGAAGAAGCTTGACATGATGGATGACTTCATCCACGAAAAGTCCGCCCTAGAGCAGAATCGCCGGTCAGGATCCGTCGATCCGGAGCCCGATCCAGAGCCGGAGGGCATGCAAGCCGAGGCAGAACCAGACATGAACTCAATCAAGGCGCTACCGCCACCAGAAGGGTTTCCAGACGAAGAAGCCAAGGAGGAGGAAGAAAAGGAAATCAAGAAGCCGAAGGAGGAGGACAAGGAGAAGAAGATGGTGCAGGAGGTCGGAGATCTGTTGAATCTCGGAGCGGATGCACCCACCACGGAAGAGCACATTGATAAATTGGCGCTGGCTTTGTTCGACGGCGGTGGGCAGACAATGGTGGCAGGATCTGGAAAGGCACCGTGGGAGGCGTTCAAAGACTCGGGTGACTGGGAGACTGCGCTAGTCCAGTCGGCTAGCCACCTGTCCAATCAGGCGATGCACCTGCCAGGCGGCATGGACTCGATGGTGCTGGATGGCATGTACCAACAGGGAAGGATGACGCAGGCGGCGGCGAGCTCAGGGCTCGTTGCAACAGGGAGCGCGAGCAGCGTTGCGTTTGGGTCGGCTGGGAGGCCGGCGATGCTGGCGCTGCCGGCGCCGCCGGGAGGAGAGGCGAGCTCGTCAGATCCGTTTGCGGCGTCGTTGGGGATAGCGCCGCCGGCGTACGTGCAGATGTCTGAGCTAGAGAAGAAACAGAGGTTGCTGGTGGAAGAGCAGGTGATGTGGCAACAGTACGCGAGGGACGGGATGCAGGGGCAGGTAGGGGGACTACGACAACAGCACAACGTGTACCCCTACAACACGAGAACATTTTGATTGATTAATAATCAATTATGGGGATTTTGGTTTAAGAAAGGAAAAAAAAAACGAAAATGTATTTTGTATTTAAAACAATGTATTGTATAATGTATGGAGGTGCGTGGGTTGTTTGTTTAAGGTTGAAGAGATGACAAGCGACAACATTTCAGTACTTTTGGAGTTGTTCTTTGATCTCCTTTCATTAACATGCATGTGGATTTAGTTACTAAGTCTATCTCTACCTCTTATCTCTAGCGCAGAATTTACTCTACTCTAAAGTATAGTTAAACATTTATCTCCAACCAGTGGCGAAACCAGCCGGTCACCCCGCGGAGGGCCCAATTTGCTGCGGCGCACCACCCCCACTCCGGCCATCCCCCGGCGCACCACCCCCACTCCGGCATCGGAAGGACGCTCAAAGGGCTTTTGTGGACGCTCTCAAAAATTTTCGCAGGATATAAAGAAATACTCTAGAGATTTTTCTAAAAATCAAACTAAGTCCGGAATTAAACTGGTATACTTAAACTGAATTGTTTTAACTCGAAAAATTCTCGAATTTATACTAATAAAATCTCGGACTCAATTATAATAATAATCAAGAATTATACCTCCTTTCGAATAGACGAAAAGATGAAAAATTTGAGAAAACGAAGCCTCGAACGATCGAACTCGTCCTCCAAAAATTTGCTCCTTTTGATACTATTTAACGAGAAATTCAAACTCCCGTAATAAATGCTTGGAACTCCAAAAAATGCAAAATTTGTCTGTATGGAATCGTGCTTGAATTGTCTACACGCTCCAACTTGATTCTCGTTAAACCGAGGTCACACGCAACCTTGTGGAACCCCGCAAAACGGCCTTTTATTCTTCTATTATGCGCACTCGACTTCGAGCTTCTCAAAATAAATGCTCGAAACTTCTAAACGTGATATAAATTATACGAACGACTTCTACTGTTCTCGTGCTTTTAAGAAAGCACTCCCGCTAATTTTCAGCACGCCTAACGAGGGCCGACGGTTACCCGAAGTCCAGACATGAAAATGACAATAAAATCACCTCCACTGCCATTTTTCTCTCAACTTTGGGCTATCCAAAATAAATGGTCGGCACCTCAAAATCATAAATCGATGCCACCAACGCACTCTCCGCTTCCCGTACTTTCATAAAAGTATTTTTCGGTAATGATCGACTCAGTTTTTGAGTCCCGTCGGTACACCGCAAGTTAGCTAATAAACCAACTCAAAATATAATAAAAATGAAAAAATTAGTAAATTCTGCTGCTGTTATAGTTCTCCTTGTCCCGAAACCAGGATCCCGTTTCGGGGAGGGGCCAATTTGCCTTTAAAAAAAAATTTCACGACAAAACCGGTGGCGCCCCTCCTGTCATGTATGTACCGCATAAAATCGGGGAGGGCCCAACATGCGCGTTCAAAGGAAAATCTTCCAGTTTCAGCAAAATCCTCCACCCATAGTTAATTTTTTTTTTTTTTTGGAGGGGCCTGCGCCTCTCCGACCCCCCAAGTGCTTTCGCCCCTGTCTCCAACCCTAAGCTCTACATTTTAGTCTACATCAAATATATTATTTATTTATTTATTTATTATTTTAAATAAATTGGTATATATATGTATATTTAATCTTATATAAATATTTACTACCCAAATAACAAAAATGTATTTTATTTATTATTTTTCAAATGAGTTGTTATATATTGTATATTTAATTTTATAAAAAATGTTTATTACTCACATAATTTTTATTCATTTTTATTTTAAATAAGTTGTTATAAATATGAATATGTAATCTTATATAAATGTTTATTGCTCAAATAATAAAAAAATATTTATGCATAACAAAACGAGACTGTTTCATAAGTTCAAACAATAGGATACAAATTACGTAATACAATGAAAAAAAATAATAACCATTAAAAAAATTGATTCCAATAACATTACAACTAATTTTCTGAATTAGAAAATTCCTCCCATAAATGCTCAATCAATGCATTACGAAGTGCGATATGAGCGTCTCTATCTCGAATTTGTCTGTATCGAGCAACAAATGCTTGGAACTGAGAAGCTTCATTACCCACCGTTTCAACATCTGGGGTTGGGACCTTTATCGCAGCTCCGATCAGTGCAGAAAGATCTCGTTCATCCTCAATTATCATATTATGAAAAATAATACATACAGTCATCATATCTTGTAAGTCATTTTTAGTCCAAAATCAGACAGGATTAGCCACAATAGCAAATCGATATTGGAGTACTCCAAATATGCATGCTCCACATCCTTTTTGCATGCTTCTTGTTTCATTGCAAAGTAGTTTCTTTTCTGACTACGTAGGTCACGAATAGTTTGGACAAGGGTTGCTCATATGGGATATATATTATCTGCTAAATAATACCCTATGTTGTACTCTTTATCTTGGATGACATAATGTGCGGGAGGGGCAATTTCTTGAGTAAGTTTAGAAAATAAATGAGACATGTCAAACACATTAATATCATTGTTGGATCCAGGCATACCAAAGTATGCATGCCATATCCAAAGATCGTAATCGGCTATTATTTCTAAAATAATAGTTGGAGATTTACTACATCCTGTATACGCACCTGCCCAAGTCGTTGGACAATTTTTCCAGCGCCAATGCATACAATATAGACTACTTAACATTCCTGGAAAGTCATGTTGCTTACCGATATAAAGGAGTCTTGCAACGTCTGTTGGGAGAACGTAGATATTGCTCTCCGAATATCTCTACAACAGCACGACAGAATTTCTTCACGCATTCAATTGTGATGGACTCTCTAATATTTATGTATTCATCTGTCGCATCTGCTGATATACATATGCTATTATCCGAAGCACATCAGTTAACTTTTGATAGGTAGACAATCTGAGTCTACCAACTGCATCTCTTTACTGCAAAAAATAATCATCATGACTATCAACTGCAATTTCTATACGAAAAAAATAAATTTCTAGACATCCAAAAACGTCTACAAAACATGGCCTCATTAAATTTTGGGTTTTCAGAAAAATAATCGTTAAAAAGACGATTTGCAGCTGCTTCTCGATCGTGAAATATTGTTTTTCGACCAGGAACTGAACCTCCATGGCTTCGACCACCTTGTTGAGTTTTAAGAAATTCTTGCAAAAGAATATTATTTTTGTAAATTTGTTGTGCTATCAGATGTTGCTCTGTATCATAACTATCTAGTAGTTGTTCAAGTTCATCATCAGATGAACTTGAAGAAGAAAATGCACAAGTACCAATGTGATTGGGATTCATATTTTTGTGGAAAATGAAAAAATTAACGAATGAAAAATTTGTGTGAAAATCTGTGTATAAATAATAATCTAGAAATCTACAACTTTTAATCTTAGCCGTTTAATCTTGATTTTCATAGATAAGAATTATACCATTGATATGTAGATAAGAAGTCCAACAACTTTTAATCTTAGCCATTAAATCTTGAGATAAGAATCGTACGGTTGATATTTAGATAAGGAAATCCATAACTTTCAATCATAGCAATTGAATCTTAATTAATCGTATATGTAAGAAAATCTACAACTTTTAATCTTAGCTGTTAATCTTGAGATAAGAATCGTACGGTTGTTATTTAGATAAGGAAATCCACAACTTTCAATCTTAGCCGTTAAATCTTAATTTTTAATCGTACGGTTGATATGTAGATAAGAAAATCTACAACTTCTAATCTTAGCCGTTAAATCTTGAGATAAGAATTGTACGGTTGATATTTAGATAAAGAAATCCACGACTTTCAATCTTAGTCGTAAAATCTAGATTTATAATTGTACGGTTGCTACGTAGATAAGAAAATCTACAACTTTTGATCTTAGCCGTTAAATCTTGAGATAAGAATCGTACGGTTGATATTTATATAAGGAAATCCACAACTTTCAATATTAGCCATTAAATCATATATAAGAATGGTACAGTTGATATGTAGATAAAAAAATCTACAACTTTCAATCTTAGACGTTAAATCAAATTCCTATCACGTATGCGAACCATACATTACTTATCAATGGAAATGAAATATACTATAAATATGCTACACGGTGAGGCAAAATTTTGTACCATCAAAATATAACTTCAACATTTTGTAATTTACGTTTTAAATCCATTTTCTTTTAATAATTTCTCCTATGGGTTTCAACTATACTGTGAATGAAGATCAACACCTATGTCGGTCTTATATAGAAAATTCTCAAGATCCAGAGGTGGGCATATATCAAAGTGCAGATCAATTTTGGCTTCTTGTGATGAACGAGTATAATTCTACAAAACTCAATCCAATGTGGAATGATCGTCCACAAAGATCGATCCAATGTTGCATGGGAACTATCAATACTGCTATTAAAACTTTCAAATTTTGTGTGAAGCAAATTGAAAATGCAAACATCAATGGAGCTTGTGAACATGATTTGGTAAGAAATTTTAAAAACGTTATTTATTTTATGATTATACAAAACTTTAATATTTTCTATTGCTATTCATTTTCACATTGTAGATGGAGCATACGAATGTACTTTATTCGCAAAACTCAAACAATAAACATTCAAGTACGAGCATGTGTGGAATATTATGAAAGATTTTGCATTGATGGAGTGCACATCAACTAGGCGAAACACGTTTTCATCTCAACACAATCAGATGCACAACCCAAGTCTCCCATTTCACCTATTCCATAACTATCTAATTTTTCTATTAATTTAAGCAATGAATATGCTAGTGGTGGTTCATCATCACCACGACCGTTAGGCATTAAAAAATTAAAATTTAAGAGAAATCAGAGAGAAGACGTAACTACAGTTATAAAAACAATAAAAGAGGAAAATTAAAAATTAAAAGAGATGATAATGAGCTCAGCAATGAAGAGTGATCACGACAGTGAGACGATGAGACAAAAATTGAAATCCAAAAGCAAAAAAAAAAAAAAAAAAAAAAAAAAAAAAAAAAAAAAAAAAAAAAAAAAAAGAATTAAGAAAGCAATTTGTGACTACCGCATAGACAGAGGAAAATAAACTTTTAATGATGGATTTGGTCCATACAAGATAACCGTTGTCGTGAATATTTTAAAAACAAAACAAGAACAATTTTGAGAAAAGTAAAAGGATCGCAACCATCACAAGCTAGTAACACTTTTGGTTCTTTTCAGTGAGTTTTTTCAAAATCTTGACAGGTCTGGAAGTGGATTTGGAGACTACTAGAATTATTTTTTTTTATCGTTACTTATGTTGTTTTTATTTGTGTATTTTGTGATTTATATGTGATGAAAACTTCTGATGTTAATATTATGTTGTTTTTATTTGTTTATTTTATGATTTGCATTTGTTGTAAACTTTTAATTTTAATGAAATCTACTTGTTTGAATGTGTTAAATTTTTACTCATATGGTACTATTTTAATATTAAAAATAAAAATAAGGTTATTAATACATCAATAAATAAAAAACACAAAATTATTTAGTATAGAAAAATACATTGCACAAAGTTATTAGCATAAAAATACATTTACTAATACACATTGTACAAAAATTTATCATTAATATTACATTAATATATATACATATATGTATGTAGCACTGCGCCGCAATTGGCACATCACTGTTCATATATCTCATGTGTCGCAAGCTTTCAACGCAAGGTTAGAGAAATTTTTGGACACAACTCTAATTGTTCCTATATATCATGCGGCGCAAGCTTTCAGTGCAAGGTTGGAGAGATTTTTAGACACAACTCCAGCGTTCTGTGCAAGGTTGGAGAGATTTTTAGACACAACTCCAGCGTTCTGCTCTAGAAATTTTTGGACACAACTCCAGTGTTCTGCTCTATTCTAGAGCAGTGCTGGAGATGCTCTAATGAGTATCGGTCAAAACAACATAAAAATCGAACACGTACATTTCGCACTCACGAGCTAATGATAAATGGCGGCTATGACTAAAGTATAAACTCATCTCTGATAAGAAAATACAATAAAAAGGAAATAATGTTGATTTGTATTGCTAAGTCATCTAGTGATTTGAGATACATGATTCACGGTTAGTTTCGTATGGCCATACACACAAGTTTTCGCCTTTATTCAACACACTGAGTTCTATTGTTTCTTGATGGATACACCTAATCTCATTCCAACACGAACCAAAGTTTCCAGTGATCTCAAGCTGTTTTCCAGCAAGTCGTCATCTATCTTGATTGCACCCTGTGGAAAATTCCATACAGAAATAGATGTATTGTGCATGCTAACGTTGCTAGAAAAGGGAAATGCTACGGTCCCGTTAAGGAACCATTCCGTCGGGGTTTGTAACCGATCATCATGCAACCGTCGAGGATCAAAGATCTAATGGTTACAAATTCTGATGGAATGGTTCTGTAACAGAACCGTAACATCTCCTGCTAGGAAAATATATATATATATATATTCAAGATTTTATAATTATTTTTTATGATATTTTAGCAACTTGTTTATGCACAAATGGTTTAACGAAGAAAATAACATGGGCGTTATATTAACAAATTTGAAGAGAATATGAACCTTCTCAAAGACACAGATGACCGTGCTTCCGCCAAATGAGAAATACCCAAACTGCAAACGAACGCCAAATAACATTCAGAAATATATTTGAACATATATGTTGAATATATATGAAAAGAAATAATGACAGCCGGATCAATTGTAATGAACCTCGTCTCCTTTTTTGACATAGTCGCCTTTGTTCTTAGAAAAAGTGATGCTACCAACCATTGTAGCACCAATCGAGACAAAAGCCACCTGCACCAAAGATGCATTTAAACCCAGCTTTTGCAATGCTGCATCAAAAATACTTTATAAATTTTGTAGAAGAGAATGACGATATTGTTCAAGGGATCAATAGAAGTGTTGAAAATGAATTGGTCTCCAAAGCATAGATTAAAGAAAAAGTAAGGAAGGCAGACATGACTAGTCCCACGGTAAAATATAATTCGGGGGTATTTGAATAAGATTTTTGAAATGACGAACCTTTCCAAATTCCTTTGTCGATATCAGGGACACAACACGCTTATTTTCAGTGAACACATTACAGTACTTGCTATTTACTGCAATTGGGTTAACCTTGAAAGATCAAAATAGTATAAATGAGGATGGTCGCAGATAAGCCAGAGGCCGTGAGTATAAAAATGTTTTCAGAATTCAAAATACCGTGTATAAGCATCCAGGTATCTCGACAAATTTCTCAATAGTTCCAGAAACAGGAACGTGGAATCGGTGATAGTCCTGAAATAATATGATTAAAAAAGATGTACTTACTCTGGGACAAAACCAAAAAATTACAGCAGAAGTCATTAAGTGACCACCTTACTTGTAGTCAAGAACAAGAGAAATTGTTACCCATAAGAGGGGAAAAAAAAAAGAAGAAAGAAAGAAAGAACAAGAGAAATTGCACGAATAGTACCTGAGGAGCCAACCGGAATATCACTAGACTTCCATCAATAAAGGAATCAGAGCATACGTCAGTCCCCAAAAGACCTTGTACAGAAAATTTTCGTCCCTGGAGCAGTCAAATAGATTCTCATTCATAGGGCGCGAAAATATCATATTTGGCAAACAAATTAAGCCGGACCAAATTCTTTAATTGGGTAATGGTTCTGGCAAAATTTTCATAACCAATAACAAATAATAAAATCAAGCTAAATGAGAAAAACTTGCGCAACTTCAGATATTTTACAATTAACCTTATGACTCTTCTTATGGAACACATTGTCCTGGAAAGACTTATGAGGGTAACCCAGATACATGTAATACCTTAATCCAAAATCTTGTAGAGTCAGCAACAGTAGTAAATGCCGTCAAGCGGCAATCAGCTGCACAAACTGCAATGTCATCACACTCGAGGTCGGCAATTGGCCTCGCACCAGGTTTCAACTCTCTTATAAAGAATTCGTTGAAGGTCTGCAATCAGAAAAAAAAAAAAAAAAAAAAAAAAAAAATAAAATAATAATAATAATAATAAAAAAAAAAAATTCATTGGCAGCACTTTCTTTTAATGTCTGCTCTCACATTTGTTGCTCACCTTAAAGTGCTCTAAAGGGTATTTGATTTCGGACAAGTTTATTTGATCCTGCAACATTATCAATAACAGCAATCAGGAAAAATCTTGTCATTGCATATCAAAAGCTGCAGAACAACTAAAATTACGTGGAATACCACGGTATCTGTATGCACGAAAGAACATTCAATAATTTGTAATTACATGGAAAAGAAGTCTGCACAAAATGTTGCACAAAAGGCAGTAATTAACAATTAGTTTGGAAATGATTGAGCAACTGTCTCAATAATTCTCAATTTTTATGGATAATCATTTTCTTCATGCACCATCATGTTCCAAGCAGAAGAAAAAAAAATGTAATTTTCAATTTGTTCTCAAATTGCCATGGTAAAAAGATAGTCATATGGCTTATGAGAAAGCCTCAGCTTTTCTGAAAGCCGAAATGTGAGGAAGTGGAGAAGACGAAAATATTAAGCATGTCTGCACTGAAACAAGCCAAATCATAACAAGTTTCACCAAAACTAGTCATGCACAAAACATGGTTTTTAATGGCAACTGTAAGAACACTGATCCAAATTCTAGAGAATACAAGTAGAGATATGCTGTGCATGACCGAAATTAATATCATGCCTTGAACGAAGTAATGAATTTTGTTATGTCCTTAGCAGATTCAGTTGAATCCATTTTTCTGCCCTGTTTTTCTGAGATGCTTTGCAAGAGTTCCTTTGCCCCTGCATTAGATAACAATTTGGAAAGCAAAGACATGAATACAGGTGAAACTAACAAAAATTATGGCGTGGTAGAAATGAAACGTCCTTTGTTCACGTAGTTAGATTTATTACGGATCCAAATTATGAAAGAATTTTCTCATGATTCTCAAAGAACTAGAGCAAAAATGCAGCTACATGCATGAAATGGAGAATAATAATCAAATGTTTCTCACAAACAGGAACCTTTGTCCATGAGGCCAAGTCCTACTTTAGATTGATAAATGGCCCTCATAGATAAAACAATTTTGGAATCAATAATTTCCTCCACAAGTCTCCCTGTATGCCGATCGAAAACCTGCATGAAAAGTTCTGTCGGATGAAATATTTGAGAATGTGGTCAAATGTGTTTATATAAAATAAATATATATAGTTTTGAAAAATAACATACGAAGCCTATCTGTTTCTTCCAGCTGACAAGATTTATATTACAGGTGGAATTTTAGTGTGACTGTGAATTACATAAGCAACACGCTGCCGGGCTATGGAATCAAAAATTTATTAGTAAAATTTTTTAAAAAAGAAAAAGGAAAAAGAAACAAAACAAAAGCAAAAAAGGATCAGATTTCATTGAAACAAAAGTTCAGCCAAAGAAGTTTCTTGAGGCAACACATCCTCCCTATATATTATTCCCGAATGCGCTGAGCCTACGTGGTTGTTTCTGGTGCTTCGGAATCCTACTTGGCAAAGAATCATGCTTCGTAATTAGGTTTGGACAAATCATATTGATAAATTAATAATTAATAATCTAGGTTCGGATATTCCATAAATATTATTTAGCTAATTTAGGTATTTTAATATAACTTTTACTAATATAACCCTTTAATTCTTTGTAATTTTACATAGTGAGACACTAAGTGACTAATATATCCCTGACGTTTGATTTGTTTCCTTCAATTAGCTATTGAATTATAAATATATTTTAAAAGTTGATAATTTTTGTATTTCTTATCGGTTTTACATATATAATATATCAAATTAATTATCTTTTGATGATCTTCGATTTGACATCCATATTATATATATGAAATAAATAAATCATATTTATCTTTATAATAATATTTATTAAAATTCATTAGAAAAATAAAATTATTTCTCAATTGATATATTTATGTTTAATATAGTTATATGTTGTAAGTCAAAAAATATTATAATATAACACAGATAAGTTGCACAAATAAAAAAGTGTCATACTAAATATACAATAATATATATATATATATTTATAAAAGGTATTAAAATTTTCAATTACTTTTTCTCATTAATT